ATTCCTTAACCCTGGTGCTTCTGTGCTGAACACCCTCTCTTCATAAGTAATTAGTTTTGTCTGTGGCACATTTCTTTGTTACAAGTTGAATTGATCACATTATAGCTCAGTGAATAAGACATCACAATAGATTGACAACAAGTCACTTTTATGATCAACTTTACTACAATGTACAATGTTATTTTTTTAACCTTTTTTTTTTTACATTATTTGTCTGTTTTTTTCATATTTGGGCATTATCGAGGCTGCATATTGTTGTCAAAAAGTATATCTGTTAGTAGGATATTAAGATTCAACCAAAATTAAATGAAGAAATAGGTTTTTTATTGATTTAACAACATGCCCTTAACAGTTCCAAATGTCGTTAAATTTAGCATTTGTTTGTGTTACAGTGTTTTTGCTGCAACTTGTGTTATAAAGCATCAAAATATTTTGAGTCACAAATCTCAGATTCTCCAGTGTGGACACGGATTGGTGAAAGGTACTGTCACTCTGCCATAATTTCTTTGTTAATCATTTTGTACAAAATTCAAAATTCTTAACCCTTAAACTCCCATGAGTGACCAATAATTTTTCATATCGATATCTATACAATATCAAGCAGAAGACTGATGAGAATATAGAAAAATATAAATTATTGAAAAGTTATTATTAGCTGCTCGGATACCAAATTGTCAGAACTAGCATCAAAAGAATTGTGTGGTAGATAGTAAAGAATTAATAATAAGATTCTGGAAGTGAAAAGGTTGACAATACTATGGTTTGCACATCAGAGTATGAAAAGTATGCATTTGTTTGAATAAATGTTTGGGAAATAAATGCAGAATAAATTCACATTTTGGGGCAAAGAAGAATTTAAAAAGTATTTTTAATTTTAAAAGAATTTAAACATACCCTTGATTCTTCAAGGGTATGTTTGGTATGGAATACATCTCAGTGTTGTTTCACTTGTCTGACAACAATTTTTCTTACTTGTGGATCATCTCTGAGGTTCCTGGCCTCATGCTAGAGCTGAATTGACATACAATGAGAATTCAGTATGTCATTTGTTTTTATGCTGTAGATAATGTACTTTATACAGATAATTATAATCGTTATTTAGAGGGGATTTGAAGCCATCTGAGCAAAATTGCATGATTGCATTTATCAGATATTCTTTTGTGTGTTTCATGAGATTGCAGGTGATCTTACAACCTGACAACCTGCATAAGAAGTTGGCTTTGATATGATGAAGTTCCCAACTTAGATACAAAGATTTTCAGTGATACTTTCACCTACTTAATCACAACACATAAGTTTCTTAAACACTGATTAGATATGACAAATGTGTTGCCAAAAGCTATGAACTGTGAAATGATATTAATGAAGTTAATACTTGATATTTTTGCATGCCATACAGCCCCAAGATGTTTGTTTTGCTCAAGAATGAAAACAACACCAGTAGGTATGGGAAACTGAGAGTTAATTTGTTGGTTTATCAATCAATACTAGTTTCTCTCTATTAATTTATCAGCTGAATAATCTATGCAGGATTTTGAGAGAACACAAGAGAGAACATTTAGCAAAGATTGGTCAATTTGGTTGCAGGTTATGTGATTCTTCTAGGATGTGTTTGGTATAGAATACATGTATGCCTTAATGTTATTTCACTGGCAACAATTTTTCTTACTTGTAGAGTATCTCAAAAGTTCCTGGCCTCATGTTAGAGCTGAATTGATATACAATAAGAATTTAGGGTGTCATTTCATAAATACGTAATAGACAAAGTACTTTATACAGATAATTCTCATGACAGAAGTTTGCAAATTACAACCTGTTGGAAAATGAGTCACAAAATCTTTCAAAGTGCTGTAAACACCCTAAGTTTATTATTACTCCTGACAGTAAACCAAGGGAAAGTGCAGTCTACTGCTTAAATAATTAGGAAAGGTGTGGGTTTGTCTATACAATAAACAACAGATTTTTGACCAATCATATGGCTCATGGTATGTTATTTATAAAATAATTTAATTTTAATAATGTAATTTAATTATAATAATGTGATGTAATTATATATTATATGCATGCAAAAGCCACCAACACACAAAGCTAGCTGATTCTTACCAGCTGGTAGATCATTAACAAATCTTTATCTGCATAGTTGTTTACTGATTTAAATAATTCAAAGTTGACCATCTCTTTTCACAGGACTGGTTCTGGTGAAGTTCTTCTTGGAAAAGATAATAAACTAGAAAATATAAGGTGATAGAAACAATCATGTCACCATCAGCAGTTAATGTATCCCACATGTTCTTTATCCTTATTTTACTATTGAGGAACTGTTAGCACAATCAATTTGTATCAACGGTTTGCTAGAAATAAGTTTACTTGAGCAAAAATTTAGTGGGGTATGTAAAAGTGAGCGTGCCTTTATTTGTTGGTGTTTGGAACTTTATGAGTCAAGTCTGTTAATGATTATTAGTGGGCAAGAACACTTGTACATAGCAAAACGTGTTTAAAAAATTATTTCACTCGCGTCATAAAAAGGGTAAAGTATTCCTCTTAGATTTTATTTTTGATCGAAGTTTGTATTTTTCTTTAGTGACGGTATGCAAGATGATCGCGTCATGGATCCTGAGAAAAGTGAAAAAAGTTTGTATGGACTGGCGGCAGGCTATAGTGGAGAATTGTCGCAGGAGGAAGATTCTCTAATAACATCACAAGAGAATTCTTTTATTCGCAATGAGAACAATCCACAAGGGAATTTGTCATTGTCCACATCTTTTCTGGCATGTAGAAATGAAAAATCAGGTGCATTAGATCATTTGTTGGACAAAACAGATCTATTACTTGAAAAACCTGAACAGATATCAAATGAACCTGACCTCCTACAGTGTCATTCTCCTAAATCGCAAAGGAAGGCGCAAGATTTTAACAAGAGTGAGAGAAATTTTCCCTCTGAGGGTGAAAGAAAGCTGGACTTTGTTAGGAAATCACTGAACAGTGACACAGTAATTCAATCTGTCCAAGCTGTGTTCCAGGAATGGTGCACACATTCTACCTTTGAATATCTGGGACTCGCTGTAAAACCAAAAGTCGCGAGCGCCCCACCAGAAGCGAAAGACAAAGGTAAGCATTTTTCTTTGATTATTAGACGGCAAGTTTAGGGTTGCTCTGACTCTAGAGTCGGTGGGCTATGAGGGAATCAAGATCGAGGCAATTATTGGCTGCAAATTTGGAAGAAAGCCAAGATCTGGTGAATTAGAAACCGACTGATCTTTGTGCCACAGGAGTGAACCATGTAAGTGTGGTCATTTTATTTAATTAGTTTAATTTGTTTGGGACTTGCGAAGGGACACATTTAACCTCGACTTTGTCGACGAAAGCTTGTGAATGAAAACTTGTCTAAGAAATCTTTTGAGGGAAAACTTGTTTGGCAAATCTTTTTGAGGAAAGCTTGTCAGGTAGAACTTGTCCTGGAAATATTTTCGAGGTAAAGTTTTCCAATAAAACTTGTCTTTAAAAAGAAAACGTAAGTGAAACTCCGGCTTTATTGAACCATCTAGACCCAGAATCCTTCACGACCAGGGCTATTCAGTTCTTCCAAGCTGCCTTGAATGACAGTGAAGATTCAGACTTAGAAGCAGATACTGACCTGGGTCCGAAAATAACCAAAGAAAATATAGTGATAAAAGAAAACAAACCTGCAAATGAGGTAACTATACAGTTATCATTAATTAAAAAAAAGAGACATTTTCTAGGCGCTTGGTCATGGATTAGTACATTTTACTCTATTGAAAGTAAATTTATTGATTATTATGAAAATACTTCTTCGTCTAGTTAAGATTTCCTTACTAACCTTCGCTGGTTGAAAACCATAGTTAAGAATGTAATTTAATATAAGCTCTTTTATGGAAATTGGTAACGGTGTAAAAATGTATCTTTAATTTCTTGTACACTACAGTTAACCACTTATGTCCAGAAATGCACGCAGTATTATGGATTCATGGATTTCATGGATTTCATAGATGATGTGGATTTGACGATTTTGGCGAATTTTAGTCGAATTTGTCTAAGCGAAATCAGCATGGTGGATTTGACGATTTTGACGAATTTTCGCCATTTTCGTTACTGCATGCTTTTCTCGACATATCTCAAGTTAACACTCTATTAACACTTTACTTGATTGTTGTAGGATAGAATTTGTATTTTGCCTCCTATCGACTCAAAATCACAAGTTACCATCAGAAGACGAATTGTCTTGGATAGATTGTTTCGAACGTAAGTGTGACTGTCCAATTATGATTTAAATCAAAGTATAACATGTTATCTTCACACATAAAAATCGCACCTTACCACTCAAAAAAAAAAACATTAAAGTGGAATGATTTAATTTTCATTGGTGTCCATATACTACATAGAATAGTGTCTCTTGGAGATAGGAAATATGTCTTCTCGTGTTGAAAAATATTTCACGAGTGAGCGATATTTTTGAAGAGAAATTTCTTATCTCCGCGCGGCCATGTAATATCCACTATATATTTATTGGTGTTTTTAACAAAATAATTAATTTAATCGTGCTTGATGTTTATGATATGATTTACTAGCGAACTCGGCCTTACGGGTCTAGTTAGCTATCTATCATCCCACCAACGCGTGCTCGTGTAATGATTGTTAGTAAGTGAGCAGTCTTCAATTGGGTATCGAAAGTGATCCAGGTTTTCCTTGGCATTACTTCAATCAGCTTTGTTAGTTTGCCTAGAAAACTTGTGCCACCTGCTCAACCAATGAGATACCAACCTTGAGCCAATTGCGACTTGATAACTCGCGCTTTCCTACTCTTTAGGCCATTTCCGAGTATCATCTCTGAGTTCCCATTGGCTGTTTGTGATATTTATATTTGCCCTGATTGATTGTTGTGATTACCATGGTATTGTTGTTACGGAACTCCATCGGAAAGCGCTTTGGCAAGGTTACATTCATTTGCTGATTCAATTGCGTGAAATAGTCTTGCTTCTGTCCCTAGCATGCCAGATTTGTTGAGTGAAATCAAGTTGACTGTGGGGGAAGTATCACGTGACGTCACTCAGCTGGTTCACACCTTTAGGTCAGTGGAAGTAGTCCTGATGTGAATTTCAGTGCTCACAGTGACAACTTTAATGTTTATTGTGTCAAGGTTAAAATTATTATTATTAATTGCCTTACAATGAAGAGCCACGTTGAACTCGACTAAAGCGAGCGGACGTTAATTTTCAACTTACAGTTGTTAATCAGTGATTGTACAATAAAACAATGGTTACACAATATGTTAATTTGTTTATTTATATATATGTTCATTTATTGTAGTCTTAACAGTAAAAACATCACCCTGAAGCCTCTGCAGTGGAGAATTCTCTCCTTGGCGTTGATTCTTATGTGGGTATATTTTTTCTCTTTATTGGAGTAATGCACTAAATAACCTTAAGTTGCCGGTTTTCGCTGTCACGCCATCATTAAAACCAACCGAAAAAAAAAATCAAGAATCAAAGAGATAAACGAAGATGAATATTCAAACAGTCTCGCAAGGATTCAGATCTCGTGCTGGAGATAATTGAAGACGTTATTTACTCATATTTATAAGACGCCATGTCTGTGTGCCGGAAGCTAACAAAAACATATATCATCGAGTTTTGTCGTCTTCTGAGGACTCACAAACATTTCTATGGGTCCTTATTCTCATACAAGAATTGATCAGATGCAAAATCTCAGCGGATAACTCACTTTTTTAAACCTACGTGATTGCATTCTTGGCTGTCATTTTAATATCGTGTCAATTTGTGAAAAGATAAGTCTTCAGCTGTTCTATGAACTAACTGTACTAAAATCTCAAAAGGATTGATAAATCCTAATTTTTTTAATTTTGATGACGTTACTTGAAAACTGGGTATAGCCCATGCCAGCTTTAGAAGTCATTTCCTTCATACCTCTTTATATTGGGGCAAGTTACGAGTTGAAAATTACCGCGAGATCCTCGGTTTTACTGAGTAGAAAGAAGGTGATTTAGGTCAGTACAAGACACGAAGATATACATGCTAATTGCTGGATTGAAATTACGTGAATCGTGAATCGCCTTTCTTTCACCAACTTTTTAGCCTCTCAAATTTTCTGTCTACAATTGTTTTCTTAGTTTTCTTTGCAGAAATTAAATGTTGACGGTTGACAATTTGTTACATTTTTGACAGACTCGAGAGGAAGAACTACCATATAGCACAAGCATTGGAGTCTTCTAAGAACGACTTCGAAGTTTACCTCGCTCGTTTGGAAATGACGCGGAAAGATATTGAACTTGTTTTTTCGCCGTTATTTGAAAGGCAACGTTGCCGAGATTTCAGTAGTGAGGTAGAAAGCAATGAAGCAGTCGAGACATGTGAATCTAGAGAGGAGAATCACAAAGTTTACGCTAATGAAAGAGAAGGTTATGGCGACATGGAAGAATTAGACTAAACGAGATACAAGATGCTGGATTTCGGGAAACTCGTTTGATTGTGGACGAAGTAGACTTGAATAACAGACACCCAGATTGAGAGGAGCGGTTCAAAAAATTTTTTAAGAGGCATTTAATCAAAACAATGATTCTCGCAGGTGGACTGCAATTTCAGAAAAGAGGCCTGAGGAAAAATCAGGCCTCGACGGAATTCGAACCCATGTCTCCCACCTACCCTTTGGACGCAACTACCAACTGAGCTACAAAGCCACAGGCCACAGGGAAAGCCCGGCAAATTTCAGATTTTAAAGAGACTTATATTAAAGGAATCCACCTTTTAGTAGTATTTTCATGGGTTTGGGTGACTTTAAAATCTACCTTATTTTCATTCCAAAAAACTGATTATTAAAAATGTCACATAGATCAAGTTTGTCGATCGTATTAGGTCAATTTTCGTTCGCTCTTGTAGTTGTACTTCTGACCTCAAAATCTTCAGGAGGTTATCTTCAATGTTTCTATATAATCCTTATTGTATTCCTTTGACTCATAATATTTATTTTTCATTTGAAAACAATACTTTTGGATAAGCACGTTCTCTCACAAACCTTAATGGTGTCTCGGCAACAATCCTTCTAACAATCCTGTTTAAGCAACAGCGTTATCGACAATCGTTAATTAATTCCTGTCTGTGTATTTGTAGCTAGCTGGTTTGCTGTTGAATATCAGTTACAAATCCGATTATTGGTTTCCTGTGGATACAGTTTTGCGAGAAGGTTTTTCTTCAAAGTTGTTTGGTTTCTTTTCCTCCCCCTCTACTTCTTCTACCAGCAATTCGTCAAGGAGAAATAAAGTTTTTGGAATATAGTCCAGGTCTTTCTGATCATCGTCGCTGCGATCACCAACACTCTTAACAGGACTACACAGAGGCGTAGAACATGTAGGTACAGACGGTAGGTTGATGATCTCACATTGGACCTCGGCCTTAGTTGTAACAACTTTCACTAGTGTGTCTGTGTAATGAAGAAAGCCATCACGTTTAATAATGGGGACAGGTTTCAAAGCGCAGAAACTGTATTAAAATTTGTTTTAAAAAGTTATCGTCTTAGCCACACTCGCCGTAGATTTTAAGGAAACATCGAACCAATAAAATTCCAGATCACATTGTATACCGATATCAACAAATTCTCTTTCTCTAATGAGTACTTCGGTTTCAGGCAAAGGTTCAAACAGGTCAATGTCTTTTGTGGGTTCATCGCTGGCTCCCGAACAACTGAATTCCCCATAGTCTTTCAATAGCTGAGGAGCAAAAGTGTTTTAAAGAACCTCAGTTATTTATTTTTCTTGAGGTTTCCACGTAAATCGATTCTGCATTTACTCTGTTAACCTCTAACTTTTGAAGAGCTCTACTTCTCCTCGGTCGTTTCTCAGTTCGGCAGCCACTTTCAGGTCCTCGCTGTCTGCCGACTGTATGGGTCTTCTTTTTACTACGGAAGAATTTACTTCTGGTAGTGCTTGAATCGTCTGTATCGACTTTTGAGAAAAAAAACTAATAAAACCGATTGCGTACTTGAAATATATACTAAACAGTTACGTGGAAAGAAAATGTGCGATTTTTGAGTTTACATGCCCTCCAAAGTCTTGGACGTTAGCGAGCAATTTGGGCCTTCGGAAACCTCGATCCGAGAGATCGTTCGAAGTGAACTCCATCTTTCCGTTAGCACAGTAAACCGAGTCGACACGATTCGACTACGCAAAGTTTCTATCGTCCACTCCATGGAAAGCAAAATGACAAACCCGGTGCCAAGCACAGTGGTAAACCCAATGCCAAGCGCGACAGCAACTCAAATCAAGGTCGACCCGAGCACCGAAAAGCTAATCAACGTCAAAGATCAAATTCACATTGGAGAAACAATCTCTCAAAGCAAGAGCGAGAAGACCTTCATGAGCTGAATTCCAATCCTGACATTAAAATCCTGCTCATGGATAAAAACGTAGGTCCAGCTTTTCTGTCAACGGATTGGGTTCAAGCTGAGACACTTAGATATTTGCATGACGAGCTTTCATATTATAAAGTCACACAACAGGACTGGTATGCTAATCGTCTTTGTGTGATCAATTCTCGCGAAAGGCTCATGTCTATTTACAGTGGATTTATCTCCTCTAATGTTGCTCGCTTTTTGCATAAGCACTAAATTCTAAACTTTTTAAACATTTTCACCAAATTAAGGCCCAAAAACTCGACCAACTTATCGGCCCTCAAATTAATAGCGACTCATCGCCTGAAAACCTCAAAACTGTAGTTACCATTCCAGAAAATTTACTACTTTCCGATCCAGAAAAATCAGTTCTCAGCAAGGGCTTCAATTTTTTTTCCCATATCCGAAAAAACCGACGAATTTTCAGTTAAGCAAGACTTTACGTGTACCTCTGCCAATGTTATTTACTATTGCAATAAGTTATACATCGGCGAAACAGGAAGACGACTAGGTGACCGATTCCGAGAACGCCTTCGCGACGTGGAAAGAAATGACAAGGACGCATCCAAACCAGTCGCTAGACACTTTAATCTTCTTAATCATTCTAAACAGCATATGGCAGTTTGCGGCCTTTCCTTACATCTAGGCAGTACGGAAAGCCGTAAAACACCAGAACAAAAATTTATATTCCAAATCGGCACCCTTAATCCCCACGGAATCAACGAGCGCTTTTACGGTAGACACTTGTCTCTAAATTACACTGAACCCCTCTGGACACATTTAAATCAAGAAAGGGAAAATGTCTATCCTTTTCGCGCTCAAGGGCGAATTGGATCGACGGCTGTACTGAATTCAAATGCGACAAGAGGCGCTCCGCTTCATTTCCGATACCACAGAAATAACATCATCGACATACCATTTCCAGAAAAAGGGTTTAACCGGTGAAGTGGCTAAGGCCCTTTGTTCCACGTCTTCCATTACCATGTTAGCAATGACAGCGAACCCATCGTACCAAAAACTTGTTGATAGTAGGTGCCGTTATATGTAAATTGCGTGGTTTTGAGGCAAAAAGACAGCAGATGAATAATATCCTCCACAGGCAAAGAAGTTCTTTGTCCCAGGGAAGCATCTTCTCTGAGTCTTCCTCCGCAACCTTGACGGCAAGATCAACTGGGATTTTGGTGAAGAGCGAAACAACGTCGAGAGATACTAATTCTTCACAAGCGTTAAGAGTTTTATCTCTTATGAAATCCGCAAATTCGCAGGAATTTTTGGCAGTGTAATCAGTATTCCCAACAACAGGGGACAAAATTCTCACAAGATAACCAGAAGTTGCATAAGTCGGAGAATTAACAAAAGAGAAAATGGGTCTCAAAGGAATTCCCGGTTTATGAATTTTAGGTAAGCCATAAAAACGTGGACATAAGCCGTCACTACTGTATAACATTTTGTACGTAGAGTCACTAATTCTACCAGCTTTTTTCAAATCAAGCAAAATTTTGTTTAACTTCCTTTGAGTTTTACTGGTAGGATCAGAGTTTAAGACAGCATACGTACTCTTGTCATTAAGCAGAGACAAAGCTTTGTCGTGATATTGCTGTTTGTCCATAACCATAACACAATTACCCTTGTCAGCAGATAATACGAGCCTGTCCGGATCCTTTTTAAGAGCTATAGGCGCATTGAAAACATCCTTTTGAATGTTTTTGGGAGGAGGTTTAGCACGCCTGAGTATGCTACTTACTTCTGCTCTTACCAAATGCCTACGATCGTCGTTGAGTTGAGAGATACTCTCTTCAACAGCGGCGACAATTTCGGCATTCGGTATTTTGCGAGGAGCAATAGCAAACTTCAGACCCTTCTCTAAACCACTCCGTTCCAGCGCGGATAACTCCTTGGAGGAAAGGTTCATGACCCATTTATCTTTCAAAGATGAGCCTGAATTAACAGGAGACCTCTTACTGAGCAAGTGACGGAGTTTTCTGTCGTGTTTCTCTCTCTGTTTGGTAAACTTCTGCAGTTCTTTCGAACTGCAGAACTCCTCGACCCAGGAAGTTTCGGAGTTGTTAATCAAAGAAGAGAGTTAAAAACGATAAACGATATGTCGATGATGGAAACGATATGTCGATGATGTTATTTCTGTGGTATCGGAAATGAAGCGGAGCGCCTCTTGTCGCATTTGAATTCAGTAGAGCCGTCGATCCAATTCGCCCTTGAGCGCAAAAAGGATAGACATTTTCCCTTTCTTGATTTAAAATGTTTCCAGAGGGGTTCAGTGTAATTTAGAGACAAGTGTCTACCGTAAACCTTCCCACACCGACAAATACCTCGCTTTCGATTCTCACCACCCTATCTGCCATAAAAAGTCTGTAGCCAAAACTTTACTTAGGAGGGCTGACTGTCTACCATCCGCAGTCTTCACTCGATTCGAAGGCTGAGGAGAGGAAATATGTTTCCCATGTCCTAAAGGCAAATGGCTATACAAAAACTTTTCTCCGTAACTGCCAAAAACCAGTTACAAATAGTAACGCTCTTGATGAAAGGGAACCAGCGACTGGTTTTGCTGTTATTCCTTACATACAGGGTGTTATGGAACCCATCAAGAGAATTTTGAATAGCCACAACGTTAAAGTTGCTCAAAAACCTTTTCAGACTTTGGGGCATATTTTCGTCAAACCTAAGGATCCTGTCACGAAAGAACAACGAACCGACGCCATTTATTCTATTCCTTGCAATGACTGTGACAACGAATACATCGGACAGACCAAACGTCAGTTTGGTACACGGTTAAAAGAGCACCAAAAAGCGGTTTTTCTTTGCAAAAAGGAAAATTTAGCATTATCGGAGCATACATGCCTAACCAACCATACAATTGAGTGGGATAATTCTAAAATTATCACCACTAATCGGCGTTATCACCAGCGCCTTTGCTTGGAGGCTTGGTATATTAACTCCGCCCACGCTCCTTTAAATCGTGACGATGGCGGTTTTCTTCCTGACGCCTACTTACACCTCGTCAGAAAAAAGGCCGCTAATTAGTGATCATGTAAAGGACGGAGTTTGTTGCAGCGTTTCTACCCCTGATGAAGGCACTAGACAGGAGTGGCGAAACGTTGGGTCTATGAATTATAACTTCTTCAGTTACATTCATTAAATCTGCAAGCCAGAGTAGCATCAAACTATGTCTGATTGTCCACCTGGTTGCCGTGTGAACTTTAATATATTTTAATTTTATTCCTGTTTTCTCGTCACCATATTCCCACCAATGGCGTAGCTCCACTTTCTGCATATAAACCCACACTCAACCTACAATTCCTCCAATCGCTCTGACGAAGGGCTAACGCTCGAAACGTCAGCTTTTTTACCCTTTACGGTGGCTAATTTACGTTTTCAACTCAGTTGTTATCACTAAGTTACCTAGTATTGTTGTTGATTGTTAAGCCCACAACACATTTGCCCACGGTCCCTAGGGATTCTGGCGAGCTTATTCAATTACTGGAAAATACTGTCTTGCCCAACTCAAGCTGTTTTCTTGTCACCGCGGAAGTTGCATCTCTATATCCCAACGTGGACACCGAAAAAGCAGTAGTGGCTCTCGACTTGCTCCACCGCGATGCTAGGGTTCCCGAAACTCCACTATTAATTCAGCTCGCCAGACTTGTACTCGACAATAACTATTTATCGTCCGAATCAGTTCAGTCCGGACATTTTTCACCAAGAGTTTTGTATTGCTTTGGGCACTCCTTTCGCCGTCACAGTCGCAAACGCTTTTATGTATTTTCACGAGAAAGATATTGTGGAGCAGTACACCCAATTTCTCGTGCTCTATTGGCGTTTCATTCATGACATTTTTGTCATTTGGTGTGGGCCCAGGGATACCCTCCTAGAATTTCCAGGTGCTTTTTATTACAAAAAGGATCGCATTAAGCTTACTCGTTGTATTAGTAACGTTAGCATTTGTTTCCAAGATCTTTGTCTATATAAGGATATTTCCTAAAGCGTACTGCAGTTTTCTATCTGCATGAAATCTGTAATTTGCGAAATGGAAAGTTGTGTTCACAGGCGGCCCAAGCTCACGTCTC